GAAGTTCCGAAAAATGCCAAAGGCGCAGCACCTTTTTTGAATGTGTTATCTCTTACATGTTGTCTCGCCAACAACAAGAGTGCATAGAGTGTTCTTTTTTGCTGTTGTGCTTCGCATTCTTTGGAGCTTCCACAGCACCTCGTTTGGAAATTCCGCAGCACGTTTGCAGAACTTCCGCAGGTGACCCGGCGGAGCTTTCTCGAACGTTCTGCGGAAGTTCCGGTCAGTTGTGAGCGATATTTGTATATCCCAGTGCTCTTATTCTTTAGCTGAAAGTCCAAAAAATTCTCCCAGTGTTCAAATCGCACTACTTTTTCTGTTGCGATAGTCCATTTCCAATTTTTAGATTGGAGTTTTCTGGTGGCTTACTTTCGGTTTTTGATTATTCTACAAAGTACTTCATTCATGCTGTTTCAAAAAAAGTAACTTTCAGAAAAAGCTATGCTGGACTATTCTCGGCTAATGGGCTACAATACTCCCACAGCTGTCAAAAGTGTGAGCATTGAAACAAACCGTGTTTACGACACCAATGCGCAAGAAGCAGGATCATCCAAGGTGAGTCGAGTTTTTGATACGGTAGCAGGAGATTAGTGCAGTCAAATTAGTCATTTATCTGTTTAGAATTCACCATACCGCGCGGAAAACTCTAGAATCACAGTCGATAACCGAGGTGTAGTAAGATCGGGAGGAAGTAATCCTAGTAATCGAAGGATTACTTCTGGCCACAGTGGAGAAACACGGATGAATGAAGAAGAGACTAGAAGAGATCAAGACAGGGGTGAAAACTTGGAAGAAGGCAAAGAAGAAAAGGTGAACGAAAAAGAAGAGCATCCTAAAACATCTGAAAAAGAGCAAAAAAGCAGTGATTGGGAAATTGGTTCAAGTACCATATCACAGAGGGGTGAACATGAGGAATCGGCGGCCAAGGAAGGTGAAAAAGTGGGGAATGAGCAAGGATCAGTGGCATCAACAACGCGAGGACCAAAACTGACAACATGGCATCCACATGGGAAAGTTCAGCTTAATGAGGGGTAGGTTTTTTGAAA